TGGAAATTGGGATTTGTATATTGTAGGCTTGTAGCTTAGACAGATTAAAATGGAGTTTTGGAACTAATTGAAATGGATAAGGCCCAAACTGATCTTGGCCCACTAAGTAATGGGCCAGAGCTTTTGAAAGTATGACAATCCCTTTCTTAATCTTGATTAATAAGAATAAACTTCCTTGCTAACAAAAACATGAGTGTAATAAAACAATAAAAGAAAAAAAATAATATTGCAGAGAAAGAGAGAGGAAATTCTTATTGAATTTTGGGATGATTTACAGTGGGTAAGACCCCTCTATTTATAGGGAAAAAATGACTTAGCTACAAAGTAAAACTCTCTACAAGATAGACATTCACTCTAATTACAATTTTATTCATAACACTCCCCCTTGAATGTCTACTCAATAAGTAATGTGCCTCGTTAAAACCTTAACTAAAATAAAACCCAATGGGAAAAAAATCTAGTAAAGGAAAAAGAGTACACATATCTAACAATACGCCTTTTGGTTGCCTCGTTATAAACCTTGCAAGGAAAACCTAGTGGGACAAAACCTTGTAAGGAAAAAAGAGTGCAATGCGTATTAAACTCCCCCTGATGAGAGCATCAATTCACATCCTTGAGCCTTCGCATCCCAATCTTGTGCACTATCTTCTTGAAGGTTGACGTCGGTAGAGATTTTGTGAACAAATCAGCCATATTATCACTTGAACGAATCTGTTGCACATTGATATCACCATTCTTTTGAAGATCATGAGTAAAAAATAACTTTGGTGAAATGTGCTTTGTCCTATCTCCTTTTATGAATCCTCCCTTCAATTGGGCTATGCATTTGGTGGATCTGCAGGTGCTACCTTAGCTGCTGTGCGGGCCACACCCCTGCCCCTACCACGGCCTCGATCGCGTCCTTGGCCTCTAGTGGCCCCAGCTGGTGGTACTGGTGGTCGTCCATCCTGGCCGACAGCATGTGTCCTCACCATCTGTGAGAGAATAGAATAACAGAAGTTTAGTACTAGAATCAACAGATTCGCATGACAGGAATTCAAGAATAGGTAGTTTTCCTAAAGGTTCTGCGGCCTCCCGAGGATAAATACAGACGTCTCTGTACCGATCCGCGAGACTCTACTAAACTTGCTCATGACTCGTGAGACCTATGTAACCTAGGCTCTGATACCAACATGTCACGCCAAGACAGTGACGTTAGCTATGCCGGGTATGCCACGGATTGAGTGGCAAGGTTCGTCTTATTATGTTCCCAGTAGGGCAATTTCATTCTTGAAGGCCCAGCGTATGGTTGGGAAAGTTTGTCTTTCGTACTTAGCATTTGTGAGGGATGTCAGTGCAGAGACTCCCATCATTGATTTTGTTCCAATTGTGAGGGATTTTCCCGATGTGTTTCCTGCAGACCTGCCGGGCATGCCACCGGACAGGGATATTGATTTTGGTATTGACCTGGTGCCGGGAACTCAACGCATTTCCATTCCACCGTATCACATGGCACCAGAGGAGCTAAAAGAGTTGAAGGAGCAGCTTCAGGAACTCCTTGATAAGGGGTTTATTCGGCCTAGTGTTTCGCCGTGGGGTGCTCCTGTCCTGTTTGTGAAGAAGAAGGATGCCACTATGAGGGTGTGCATTGATTACAGGCAGTTGAACAAGGTTACAATTAAGAACAAGTATCCCCTGCCTCGCATTGATGATTTGTTCGACCAGCTTCAGGGGGTGAGGGTGTTCTCCAAGATTGATCTCCGTTCAGGGTATCACCAGCTAAAGATCAGGGACTCGAATATTCTTAAGACAACTTTCAGGACCCGATATGGTCACTATGAGTTCCTGGTGATGTCTTTTGGGCTGACCAATGCCCCAGCAGTGTTCATGCATTTGATGAACAGCGTGTTCTGGCCGTATCTCGACTCGTTTGTCATAGTTTTCATTGATGATATTCTGGTGTACTCGCATAGTCAGGAAGAGCACGCGGAGCATTTAAGAGTGGTATTGCAGCGGTTGAGGGAGGAGAAGCTTTATGCAAAGTTCTCCAAGTGTTGGCTTTCTTGGGACATGTGGTGTCCAGCGAGGGTATTCAGGTTGATCCGAAAAAGATAGAGGCGGTTCAGAGTTGGCCCAGACCGTCCTCAGCCACAGAGATTTACAGTTTTCTTGGTTTGGCGGGCTATTACCGCCGGTTCGTTAAGGGATTTTCATCTCTAGCATCACCCTTGACCAAGTTGACTCAGAAGGGTGCTCCTTTTATGTGGTCGGATGAGTGTGAGGCGAGCTTTCAGAAGCTCAAGACTACCTTGACAACAGCTCCATTGTTAGTGTTGTCATCAGCTTCAGGTTCAAACACAGTGTATTGTGATGCTTCGAGAGTGGGTATTGGGTGTGTGTTGATGCAGGAGGGTAGAGTTATTGCTTATGCTTCTCGTCAGTTGAAGCCCCACGAGAAGAACTACCCTGTTCATAATTTAGAGTTGGCTGCCATTGTTCACGCGTTGAAGATTCGGAGGCATTACTTGTATGGTGTGTCTTGTGAGGTGTTTACTGATAATTGTAGCCTCCAGCACTTGTTCAAGCAGAAGGATCTCAATTTGAGGCAGAGGAGATGGTTAGAGCTGCTGAAGGATTATGACATCACTATTTTGTACCATCCGGGGAAGGCCAATGTAGTGGCCGATGCTTTGAGTAGGAAGGCGGTGAGTATGGGCAGTCTTGCATTTATTCCTATTGGGGAGAGACCTCTTGCAGTTGATGTTCAGGCCTTGGCTAATCGGTTCGTGTTGGATATTTCGGAGCCCGGTCGGGTATTGGCTTGTGTGATTTCTCGATCTTCCTTGTTTGATCGCATCAGAGAGCGCCAGTATGATGATCCTCACTTGCTTGTCCTTAAGGACAGAGTTCAGCATGATGATACCAGAGATGTGACCATTGGTGATGATGGGGTGTTGAGGATGCAGGGCCGGATTTGTGTGCCCAATGTGGATGGGCTTCGGGAGTGGATTCTGGAGGAGGCCTATAGCTCGCGCTATTCCATTCATCTAGTTTCCGCGAAGATGTATCAGGATCTGAGACAGCATTATTGGTGGAGGAGGATGAAGAAAGATATTGTGGGATTTGTAGCTCGGTGTCTTAATTGTCAGCAGGTGAAATATGAGCATCAGAGGCCGGGTGGCTTGCTTCAGCAGATAGATATTCCAGAGTGGAAGTGGGAGCGGATCACCATGGACTTTGCAGTTGGGCTCCCAAGGACTTTGAAGAAGTTCGATGCTATTTGGGTGATTGTGGATCGGCTGACCAAGTCCGCGAACTTCATTCCTATTTGTACTACCTATTCTTCAGAGCAGTTGGCAGAGATCTATATCCGAGAGATTGTTCGCTTGCATGGTGTCCCAATTTCCATCATTTCAGATAGAGGCACTCAGTTTACTTCGCAGTTTTGGAGGGCCGTGCAGAGAGAGTTGGGTGCTCAGGTCGAGTTGAGCACAGCTTTTCACCCTCAGACGGACGGGCAGTTCGAGCGCACTATTCATATATTGAAGGACATGTTGCGCGCTTGTGTGATTGACTTCGGTGGTTCATGGGATCAGTTTCTACCGCTCGCGGAGTTTGCTTATAACAACAACTATCAGTCAAGTATTCAGATGGCTCCATATGAGGCTCTATATGAGAGGCGGTGTAGATCTCCAGTTGGATGGTTCGAGCTGGGTAAGGCCAGGCTTTTGGGTGCTGATTTGGTGCAGGATGATTTAGACAAGGTGAAAGTGATTCAGGAGAGGCTTCGTACGGCGCAGTCGAGACAAAAGAGTTATGCTGACAGGAAGGTTTGTGATGTGTCCTATATGGTTGGGGAGAAGGTTCTACTGAAGGTTTTGCCCATGAAGGGTGTTATGAGATCTGGGAAGAAGGGTAAATTGAGTCCTCGGTTCATTGGGCCTTTTGAGGTGCTTCGGAGGATTGGGGAGGTGGCTTATGAGCTTGCTTTGCCACCCAGCTTGTCGAGTGTGCATCCGGTGTTTCATATTTCTATGCTCCGGAAGTATATTGGGGATCCGTCTCATGTTCTGGATTTCAGCACAGTCCAGTTAGAGGGTGATTTGACTTATGATGTAGAGCCAGCAGCCATTCTGGAGCATCAGGTTCGAAAGTTGAGGTCAAAGGATATAGCTTCAGTGAAAGTGTAGTGGAGAGGTCGGCCCGTGGAGGAGGCTACCTGGGAGACTGAGTGGGAGATGCAGAGCAGATATCCTCACCTATTTGAGGCTTCAGGTATGTTTCTTGGCCCGTTCGAGGACGAACGTTTGTTTAAGAGGGGGAGGATGTAACGACCCGGCCGGTCGTTTCATGAGTTACCGCCCCATTTCCCCCATTTCTGCTTCTTTATGCTTTGTTCATCTATGTTATATGGTATCCGGTTAGTCGGTTCGAATCCGGAATGGTTTTGGGAAGGTTTGAGACACTTAGTCTCTTAAGTTGGCCTTTAGTTGGAAAAGTCAACTGGAAGTTGACTTGTGAGCAAACAATCTCGGAATTTAGTTTTTATGATTCAGATAGCTTCGGGAGGTGATTTGGGACTTAGAAGCGTGATCGGAATGTGTTTTGGAGGTCCGGAGTAGATTTAGGCTTGAATTGGCGAAATTAGAATTTTGGCATTTTCTGGTTGATAGGGGGTTTTGATATAGGGGTCGGAATGGAATTTCGGAAGTTGGAGTAGGTCCTTTGTATCATGTGTGACGTGTGTGCAAAATTTCAAGTCATTCGGACGAGGTTTGATAGACTTTTTGATCGAAAGCGGAATTTGGAAGTTTTGAAATTTCTTAGGCTTGAATCCGAGGATGATTTGGTGTTTTGGTGTTGTTTTGAGTGTTCCGATGATTGGAACAAGTTTGGATGATGTTATGGGATATGTTGGCATGTTTGGTTGAGGTCCCGAGAGCCTCGGGTGAGTTTCTGGTGGTTAAACGGATCAAATCCTTGTTTTGAAAGTTGCAGATTTTCTACTGTTGGTGTTGCAGACTATTGGCCTTCGCGTTCGCGAAGGGATATGGTGTGAGGCAGGAAGTTTTGCCTTCGCGTTCGCGATGTGGGTCCGCGTACGCGAAGGGTGAGGTTCCCGCGTTCGCGTAGAGTAAATGGGAGCAGCTGGGGTCCAGGTTCATTTGTGCTTCGCGTTCGCGAGCTAGAGGTCGCATTCGCGATGGTTTGAGGAGCTGAAGCTTCACGTTCGCGAAGAAGGATTAAGTGGTCAAAGGATTTGGTGCTTCGCGAAGGAGAACTTAAATCGCTGGGCAGAATGTTTAAAAGGCCATTTTCGCGATTTTTGGCCATAGTTCACCATTTTTGAGTCGGTTTTGGAGCTTCTTGAGGGAGATTGAAGAAGGAATTCAAGAGAACTTCTTGGAGGTAAGATTTATGGACTTAATACTCGATCCTATTGTGATTTCTACCTAATTAAACATGAAATTTGTGGGATTTGAAACCTAAAATTGGGGAGTTAGGGCTTGGAAATTGGAGACCTTAATCTAGGGATCTGAGGGGTCATTGGTGGTCGGATTTTGGTATTCTTGGTATGTATAAACTCATGAGAGTGTAAGGGTTCTAATTTTGTGATTTTTATCGGAATCCAAGACGTGGGATCGGAGGTCGGGTTTGGTCAATTTCGGGAATTGTGATGTAATTTGATTAATTTCGTATGGGTTTCACTCTTTTAGCGTATATTGATGGTTATAAACTGATTTTGGTTAGATTCGAGGCATTTGGAGGCCGAATCGAGAGGAAAGGGCATCGCGGGCTAGAGTTTGGCTTGGCTTGAGGTAAGTAACGCTTCCAATCTTGGTTCTGAGGGTTCGAAACCCCAAACTATGTGTTCTATGATTATTATAAAGGTGACGCAATGCAAAGTGACGGGCGTGTGGGCGTGCACTGTGAGAAACGCGGCCTGGATCATTCCAGAGCACCGCTTAGTGGTTCTTTCTTACCGATATCTGTGTTGTAATTATGTGATTTAGTTGATGAGCTGTGAATCATGCTGATTATCATGTTAAGGCTTCGTGCCAATATTATTGAGACCCAAGAGGTCGTTTCTTGCTGTCATATCATTTGTTTTGTCGATATGTTGTACTCAGTCCTATTCATGCATATTATGTCATGTCTCAGTCTCTGTTATTGCTATTTGACACATCATATTATTGTTCGGGCTAGTATCATGACATTTTGAGCCCGTGTGTGTGAGACTGGTGAGTTATGACTGAGTGAGGCCGAGAGCCTGATATTGAATAGCAGTATGGGATCGGGCTGCACACCGCAGCGAGATATTGAACAAGCCTTCGTTGGCTTTGTTATAGCACTTGAGCTAATGAGAGAAGCCCCTCCGGAGTCTTTACACCCCCAGTGAGCGTAGTGGATGATATTGAGGGATGGATCTTCCCTGGACATGGATCTTGTCCGAAGTATTATACCGGGAGATGGATCTTCTCTGTGAGGCTGGATTGGCCTGTGTCCTCGGTACTGGATGACTGAGGTCAGTGATATATATTCCGAGATGGATCTTCCCTGGGCCGGATGGCCATATACAGTACCGAGTGGTTGAGCACAGTATGAGTGGAGGTTCATGGAACATTAATTATGCTAGTTATGCATTGGTATATATAAAATCTCTGAGTTTTGAACTTTGTACTGTTCAGTTGCATTTACATAATGTCGAGTTTTACTTGAACTGTAAGAATGTCTACCTAGCACAAGTGATCAAACTCTGCACGCCAAGTGTCCCCGAGGCTCTGGGGAACATACTCTCTCGTGAACATATATGAAAACTGAGCCCAAGTCCGGGAAGTTGCCTCATCCGGACTGTCTGACTCATAAGCACGCCACCACTGATAGGCGGCTCCTCGAAGTTGGAATGTAGTGAAGGAAACCCCGCTCGATCCTGATATACCCATGGTACGGAGGATACGGTAGCACTCCTCTAGAAATCCAAGAGCATCATCTGAGGCTAGTCCGCTGAATGTAGGAGGCTGATACTTCTTGAACCTCTCAAGCCTCTTCTGCTCCTCCTCTGAAGCTACTGCCCTCTCCTAGGGCTGAGCTGGGGCTACCGGCTGTGTAGGGATAATCTCTGGGACCTTATCAACATGCACTCGCTGCTCAGGAGTGCGGGCCGCGGTAGTCTGTGCTCCTCCTCCGGCCTGGGATGTAGCTGCAGCAAGGGGAAGTAGTCCTGCCTGAGCTAGAGTAGTGTACATAGTCATAAACTGCGCCAGAGTCTCCTGGAGTGCTGGAGTAGTAGTAGCAGACGTATCAGGTGTCTGGACTCCGGCTGGAACTGCTGGTGGCACCTCGGTGGCAGCTCGCACGGGTGCTCTGGCCGCACCACGAGTGCGTCCTCGGCCTCTACCCTGGCCCCGGCCCCGGCCTCTGACGGCTCCAGTAGGGGGCGCGGGTGCTTGATCATCTCGGGTAGAACGTGTCCTCACCATCTGTGAGAGAATAGAAGACAGAGGTTTAGAATTGTGATATCAAAAATCTCGCACGACAAGGAAATCAAATGAAGTGGAACTTTCCTAACAGTTACATACCTCTCGTTAGTAAGTACAGACGTCGGTACCGATCTGCGAGACTCTAATAAACCGCTTGTGATTCATGACTCCTATGAACCTAGAGCTCTGATACCAACTTGTCACGACCCAAGTTCGCCCTCCGTGAACTGTCGTGACGGCACCTAGTCTCTACGACTAGGTAAGCCTAACAATTTGCGAAAAAAGAAATAACAAAAATAAACTATCCAAACTACAGAAATAATACAAATCAAACTCTTATAATGAACTACATTTCCCAAAACCCGGAATCTCATGAAATCACAAGCTATGGAATAACTACAGCGTTCTAACTCCAGAGTGTCTAAACAAAAGTAAATATAGAAGGCCTAATACTATGAGAGAGAATGGAAAGGGACTCCTCGGTCTGCGGACGCGGCAGACATACCTCGAAGTCTCTGATGGATCACTCCGCCTCAAGGATGGTAGGGCTGAGTCGAAGAACCTGGATCTGCACATGAAAAACATGCGCAAGAAGGGCATGAGTACACCACAGCGGTACTCAGTAAGTGCCAAGCCTAACCTCGGTCAGTTAGTGATGAGGAAGGTCAGGGCCCTACTGAGACCAAAGGAAATACAAGATATAACAATGTAAAGTATAACAGTATAGTTAAGTGCAACGGTAAGAAGTAATACATGATAGAAGAACAACAACAGCTATAATAGAGACAAACAATCACGGAAAGGAATACAACTCACACAGAGATAACAACCGGGGATCTCCCAGAATACCGTCCTGTAGTCCCAAATATAAATATCCAGTGGATCTCCCGGGATACCGTCCCGTAGTCCAACTCATAGTGCGCCGGTATCTACCGGAATCCCGATCCGTAGTCCCAAATGTAAATACTCAGTACTCAGGGAATCTACCAGGTGCAGTCCCGTAGTTCCAATTTAAAAGTGTAGGGGGATCTCCCGATATACAAATCCATAGTCCTAAAGTAAACATACAGGGGGATCTCCCGGGATACCGTCCCGCAGTCCCAAAGTAAATACACAGCAGTAACAAGAAGGATACTCAAATCAATCAAATTTCACACCAAGGTAAAGCAGGTATTTCTAACCTAGCATGTTGCACGTAATCCAAATAAGGCAAATTGAGCAAGTAAGGCAATTAAGTCAATTAGACATGCTTCCCCTAAGCTAACAACAGGCTTAAATTGCAAGTAGTATAAACAGGAAAAGAAACACAATTCTAAGTACTAAATGAAAACCGAATTTTTCAACAATTATCTCAAGTACGCACTCGTCACCTCACGTACAAGGCATTTCAAACATCAATAATACCAAATCCTAGGGGAGTTTCCCCCACACAAGGTTAGACAAGCCACTTACCTCGAACCGGCTCAAAATCAACCCGAAACCACGTTCTTGCCACGAGTATTCGACTCTAAATGGATCAAATCTATTCAATTCAATTGCATAATGTAAATAATACTTCAAGTAATTGATTCTACAAATAAATTCTAAGCTAATACGCGAAATTAGGTAAAATGACCAAAATGCCCTTCGGGCCCACGTCTTGGAATCGGGTGAGATTTACATTTTCAAAATTCTCATACTCTCACGAGTCTAACCATACCAAAATTATCCAAATCCAACGTCAAATCCCTAATCAAAACTCAAAATTTAGGTCTAAGAACTTTCCCCCTATTTTCCACCATAAACTCGAAATTAAAGGACGGATTTAAGTGTAGATTCATGGAAATTAGTCTAAACCGAGTAGTGATTACTTAACCAAATCGCCCAGGTGAAAATCTCTTCAAAAGTCACAAATTTTCCGAGCTCCCAAGTCCAAAGTATGAATTATGGCTTAAACCCTCAATTCTGCCCCTTTTCTAGCCAAGGATTTCGCACCTGCGGTCAAATTTTCGCATCTGCGAGACCGCTTCTGCGATTTCCACTTAAATTCCCTTGGGCCGCACCTGTGTTTCTCCTACCGCACCTACGCTCACGCAGGTGCGCTCAAACTACCGCACCTGCGGAAATTGGCCTTCCCTCAAAAGAAATATACGAATAAATATTAGTATTTTTAGAGTGTATACTTATAATACTAACGAATAATTAAAAAAAACAAATCATATTGCGATTAAATATCTCTATGTACTGTAGCCGGTATCAAGTGCTCTACACTTATGGATATATAAGAAAATAACATCCACATACACAAAATAAGATTTGAAGACGTAGTTATATCTAAATACTATGCCATAACAAACATTTCTAAAAACACGGGTTAACTGCAATTCTTCTTGTTGTAATCACAATGTAATATTAAGATAATAACAAATACTACTATCTTATTATCTCGTTTGGTTTCATGTATGAAAAAAAAAATCTAAATACCACAATAGTGTAAGATAATAACAAGATAGCAACAGTATATTATATCACATTTATATACTAATATAGTCAATTTAAAGGCATGCATTCGTACCCTTTTGTTCAAAATCAGTAACTAAATTTTCTTTTCACATCACATTTATATACTAAAATATGGTCAATTTAAAGGCATGCATTCGTACCCTTTTGTTC